GATCTTCAACCCGCACGTCTCAGTCAGCTCGACGGTTCTTCCCCTTCATGCGTATGCGGCGCTATGACAACTCGGATCCCTGGGGCTCTGACATCCATTTCTCCAATAACACAGAGGAGAACGGGCTCATATATCCACCCGAGAATACGCCATGGTTTAACATGACGCCGCCTCTCCGAGAGCCCACGACAATGGAGGAGGTTCTAGCGGATGCCGAACTCAGCGAAGAGCGAAGCCATCGTGAGGTTGTCCCAAGACTTCGCCGTGGCGGTCTCCGGGCCCCCGAATCTATTCTGTCCCGACACGCGTCCCCTTTCCTCAATCCCAATCCCCCTGAAACGATCTCCGAACCAGAAAGCGCCCCGGTCGCGTTTAACACAGCTAGCGACGCCGCCCCAGGTGAGCCCACGGGGTATCCGACTCCAGGTTCGACCGAGCATGAGTTTTTTACATAGATGAGAAGAGAAGGATCAATCAAGTGTACGACCACCATGTATATACGCCTGCTGGGACTTTTACCAATACTGAGTAGCTTTGTTTCGTAAATTATCTTGGTGATTCCCCTTTTATCTTCATGCATATGCACCTATGTACTGCCCATGTTGTCCGGCCTTCAATATGATGATTCTTCGAATTCAGAGCATGTATTGCACAGCCACTGCTCCCGTCCTTGACTTCTGACTTTTAACAACATCATAGTCATGATCAGGAAACGAGCACGTCCACAGACCCGCGTCCGCGAAATATCAGTGGAGGCTGAAGAGGATGTGCCCCAGCCGGAGAACGAAGAGGAGGCGAACTTGCCGTACGTCAGAAAAGTAAATCGACTCCGTTGTGCCCGCTGCCTAACGAAGTGCTAAACTTCAGCTTAGCAGACCTTATTGAGCTTCGGAAGCTCAGGAGGGCACGGCAGGGCATTGACGCGGCTAAACTTAACAAGGGAGATGTGCGCAAGAAGAAAAAGCGCGTCCGGGAAGAGGGGGATGAGGGTGGGTTGAGGAAAGGTGCTGCACCTCGGCCCGAAGATGAAGAAGAGTGCGTCTCGACTCCCCTCTTGTTTTAGCCTCATGCCAGCTCACGAATCGATATAGGGACGATGAGGAGAAGGAAGCACGGGCGCGCAGAGTCGTCCGCGCGAACAACTTCACGCAACAGACGAACGCTCTTGATGTCGACAAGCACATGTGCGCAGGCTCGACATGCTCCGTGTATTACCAAGCACTCATTCGGCTTAGGATGGCATACATTGAGGAGAACCTCAAGATACGCAGTAAACCGCGAGACGACTCCGACGACGATGAGAAGGGGCCGCCTGATCCCCAGGAAGCCCTATACGCCCTCGCCGACCGGTGGAAGGTAGACAAGCAAAAACCAGCGGAAGATGGAAGTGTCACCAACAGCTTGACTATGCTAACCGCCATCCCCGAGGTGGACCTAGGCATGGAGTGCGTTGCCTACTTTTTTCTCGATGATCTTCTTACAGATGGTCCCTTCACAGTGCTCGTTTGAAAAATATCGAGGAAACGGAGAAGGCTAAACGCGTCGTAGCCGAGGAACGGCAGGACCGTCGTAAGCCCTTCAACGACGAAGAGCACCTGGCAGCGTCCAGATGTGAGTAGCCCAGACTTCCCGTTTGCTATTGACGGCATGCTAACAACCGTTGTAGTTTACCGGCCAAACCTCAAGGCAAAATCAGACGCTGACATCCTGCGCGATGCGAAGTTGGAGGCGATGGGGCTTCCTCCACAGGACGACCAGCCGCGACAGTCGAATAATGAACGGCAACAAATGGCGACGGATGAATTGGTGCGCCACCCCCAATTTCAGCAGTACCCGCAAGGACTAACAAACCATCTACACAGGTTATGGAACGCTTCAAAAAACGGATGCGGAAACAATGAAATCGCCAATACATGTACATTTCTCTCCTGTATCAATATAATTGCAAGTACCGCTAAGAACTAGGGAAGAACGAGATTCTTGAGCTTTCCGAAGTCAGGCGTTCCAAGTCCTGTGACAGGATCCCAGCCCTTAGTGGCCTGCTCGCAATAGCTTATTAACGCCAAATTGACAGTGCAAAGATATTTGGTACTTACGTTGAATCCAGTGGTACCGCAGCCAGAGTTGTGGCCAATGGTAATGTCATTGAAGCCGCTGAGACCCCTGGTGTACAGGAGAGGGTTCAGGAATCCCAAGGGAGGAAGCTTCTTGGAGAGCCGGACGTCGTTGAGGAGGGCAACGATAGCCGCAAATGCTGGGGCGGACGCAGAGGTGCCTCCGATGAGTCTGGCCTGACCCCTATAGAAGAAACGGAAGCGGTCGCTTTGCGCGGCGACATCAGGGATCCCCCTTCCGTTTCTAAGTAGATAAAAGCAGAAGTCAGTGAGATGTCTGGTTTATGTGAGCTGCTAAACATTGGCAGCTTACGGGTTGTAGAGGCCCTTGTAAATGCCCTTGGGAAGAGAGTTGACATAGTTGCCGACAGCCAATTGTTGGTACAGAGGGCGAGGGAACTAGTTTGAATAATTCAAAAAAATGCTCCAAGTCGACGACGACGACGAAAAGTTGCTTACATAGTCGCTGAATCCGCCACCAGAGAAAAAGCGAGATACAGCCTCCTCAGGGTAGTGGACAGTTCCACCGACGGAGGTAACACTGTGGAGCTCAACGATGAGTTCTCGAACTCAGATACGGTTTTGAAAGGCGTTACAAGGGGCATCTGTGCATGTTCATAAGTTCATGACGAGGGATAAGCCACCATGGACTTACGATGCAGGGAACAAAGGAATAAACCTAGCCTTGTTTTTGCCGTCGTTGGTGTAGCACTCGTGAGTTGCAGGGTCGGGGTTGTTATCGCCTACACCCCAGTCTCCAGACGAGAAAAGAAGAGATACACCCCGTGCACCTGTTAGAAATTGTAAGCGCTTTTGTTATCGATGATGCTCACTTGACATACCAAGCTGGGCAAAAGATGCACATGTACGGCGAGCATAACTCTCTGGGACTGGATCATTATTAGTTGGTGTTCTTTGAACGACCATGTTCTGTGGCGTACCCGTTTGCTCATCATCGCCATAGCTCGTGGAGATAGAGAGAGGGGGGTTTGGATGGTAAAGAACATAGTCAAGCCAGTTAGCATAGGGCCTGAGAGATGATGATCAGTGTCAAATTGGCTGAGAAAACGGGGTTCACCACAGAACTCATTTGTGTTGTCGGGAGTAACAAGGTCCGGCTTGAATGGTGGGCGGCCAGCAGTGGAGTAGAAGGTTCCCTACGCGGGCCAACATACGAGTAAGCCTGAGACGTACAAAAGCAATAGAAATATGTACCGGAATCGGGTACGCCAGGCCGAACGCGTATTGGACATCCAAAGCAGCTTCAGCGCCAGATTCCTCCAAGGTCTGGTTGTTGAGTCCACCTGAAAATCGATAAAAGATTACAACCATTGCGATGCATTCCGCATATAAATGGGCTTACCTTTCACAGAAACGAACTTGAATGTCGAACCCAGAGCCTCCGGTCGTTGGTCAGCATAGAACGACTGTAGATCCTGGATGTTCGCAAATTCCTCGAGGTATCCCGTGATACCAATCGAGTTGCCCTTTGCGGTGGGCTTGTAGTCGACGAAGTTGTACAGTTGTTGGAGGCACTTGAGAGTGATGGTGGTGTTGCAGCTCGCGTCGACGGGCACAACCGAGGCAGGAGGCTTCGTAGTGGTGGTAGTGGGACCCTTGAACTGCGCCACGGAGATTTCCTCAGTCTCGTCTGGCCAAGAGATCGTGGACCGCATGGCCTTGAACTGGGCGAACATAGTCGTGGGTTGCACGACTTCGATGTGCTCGTGAAGCTTCTCTGGGAGACTGTAGTGGGTGGTCCGAACAATCTGTTCGCCAGTGTTGGCATTCTTCCAAACGTTGTATTTCTATGGAATCGGTGTTATATTATGCAGAACCCAAACCAGCCCAGATGTGGAATAAGGCGCTCACCGTGTCGAGCATCTTCTCCGCCAGGTGAATCGGGATGGTCAAAGTAACCCAATCTTTGGCAGGGGACCGAACAAAGTTGTCTTCGGTGATGCCGTGTGCATCGAGCCACTCGTCGACTACATTGATGCTTTCCGGATGAGGAGCAATTAGACTCTCGACCTCTTCCTTCGACAAATGTGCACCATAACGAGGGTGATCCGGGTCGCTGACTTCGTAGAGATGATTTTCCAGAACGCTGAAGTTAGGCTGAGGAAGTCCGATACGAAGGACAATGGTGTGGTCGGAGGATGGTATTCCGTCTTTCACCCATCCGCGAGGGGGATTGACAGTCTCCTTGACCTTGTGAGCGCCCGGTGAAGGCGCCGCTAAGCCGAGAGAAGCGACGAAGAGGACACTCAGGAGTCTACGGCACAGGGCTTGCATAACAGACTGGGGTCAAACGTTGACAAGGTTTTGTCTGCACTCAAGAGCGCCCGTAATAAATTTCATATGTTCATAGACGGGGCAAAAAGTATTCGGTACCTTGCGCCCATGAGGCGCCCAGTCCACGCAGGGTTCCCAGGTCATGGTAGGTGCTCCTTCGGTGTCATTGATGAATGGCATGAGAGCGATAACAATGGCATGTGCTTTTGGCATGTGCTCCGTTTGACAGGGATACCCACAGAGTCAATTTAACCACAAATACACGCATATTAGATACCGAGGGATGCGCACCCGGCTTCTCGAGGTTCGCAGATGCATTACAAGCATCTTGAAGTTGGTCAGACACAGGACAAAGAGGGCGGCGGCGTGAATGACAAGAGGCAGAGTTATATAACAGTGGCACTGAACGTGGTGACGAAATAGTAGTCACGAGAAGACAAAGAGCTGCACTGACGCCGAAGCCTCCCTGTTGACTGTTCTTCCGTGCATTGTCTGTTGCTGACACTGACAGGGAAGGTTCAGTATGTGGTTGGCCATGGAGGCATGGCCACCGAGCATGCACGATCAACTTTGTTGGACAAAAATCGATACAACCCCCGGCGGGACTCGAACCCGCAACCTCCAGATACCAATAGTAGGGTAGAAGTCTGACGTCATAACCATTAGACAACGGGGGCTCAGAGGTATCTTCTCTTCTGAGACTCTTCATACACCTGGCACACAGTCCTAAATGTGCATTTTATGGCGCACTCTTTACAATGATACAGCCTGTGGTGAAACAAATTGTCATACGTACTAGGATGTTTGTCCGTTTACACGTCGGCCTTCATCACCAATCGCCTTGAAAAAGTGTTGGAGAGAGATGACCGCGAAACGATTGGGGTTGGTAACGTGTAAAATTCGATAATTGGCTGCGTTCCCTTTGGAGGTAGCCTCACCGCGCCGTCAAGACGATGAAGGCGTTGAGAGGCGACTCGCGGAAGGCAGGCAGCATAACGGCAAGCAGGATGTGGAGCTTCGCGCTCGCTCTCGTTCGACGGTTCCTCCATCCTTCCAAACCCTCTACGGATTGGGCGTGTAAGTATCCGGGAAACACAGGTGTTGTGCGTAATACGGAGCTCCCAGTAGATGGAAGTATGGTTTGACGCGTAATTTCAGCGCGGATCGACTTGCTAGCACGCGGAGATGTAGCTTGGTCTGCTGCAACCGCTGGAACTGGTGATGAGATGCTTTGATCATCCTCAAGGGAATGACAAATGTCGAGACGAATGAAGATGGATAAACCACGCACTGTCAGAAATAGTCTACATCGCAGTATACCCTTCATGACCTTCTCCATGAGCAAAGATCGAAGACCAGCCGTCGAACCCGATTGTCACGCTGTAAAGTTGGAAAGGAGCGTTGTGTCCAGGGCCGCCCAGTCGCAGCCTTCCACTACGCTTGCCAAGAAAAGCAGCTGCGTAAGGCCAGGAATAAGTACTTATTGATGATCCAGAGGGGCGATCGAATTGACATTGTTCGAGGAGCACGTGTCTATCTTTTTCGAGAGAGTAATCCGAGCTCAACACTGGGACTTGAGCTTGGGTGACTGAGTCGAATGATGGGGCGTGCACAAGGACCGCTGATCGTATTCCAGACTGAGAGCTCGAGAGTGAGATGCTCCAAAGGACCAGCATCATCCGCCCCAGCTTTGCGTAAGGGTGACTAGCTAGCGCTCTGCGAAAGTGCACACTGTTTGGGAAGTCGAACGCGAGAACTCGGAGAGCAGACACCCCGGGCGGCTCGCCGTGCTTCGTCCACGAGGAGTTACTCCGATGAGGGAAGCAATTCTTTCGGTCCGTTTTCCACAGCCAATTGTTGCAACTCGTTGGAAGCTGATAAAGTGCGACACGATTCCGAACACTACACTATTTCCCCAAACAGCAGTAGAAATGGACAGAGACAAAAAATTAGGGCGTCCTGGTTGTGTTCATGCATTCATGATCGACACGTGGGCGAGAAAAATTGTCCCGACTCGGACTCGGAAGACGACATCAGTGTCCATTCACCGTACTTACACGTTGTCCTCCACCACCACCTGCTGCCCTCCAATATGTCCGAAACTCCCCTTGTCGTAGGGGATGCGACGAAACCAGCAAATCCTGTCACCGCTTTCTCGCTTGAAACCATTTTGAGCGACAAGCACGAAAGTGTCGAACACCCCGGTGCTGCCGCGACCAACGGAGTTAGCCCCACCGGCTGGGACGAGGAGGTGCCCGAAAATCCACTGGCGGAAGGGTTCTGTGTAGAATGCGAGGGTGAGCTCTCCTCCGGTGCAAGGTTTTTGCGCTAGCGCGTGACTCATCGTGATCCTGATACTGTGAAGATCAGCCTGCACAAGTGTTGTGTGAAACGTGTTCTGATGCGTATTGTGAAGTGTGTTTCGCTGCGCAACATAGGAAAGGTTCAAGGAAGCGCCACGCTTCGAAAGTACTTGCTGGGCAACCTGAGAAGAAGGCAAAGACCAGTGCCACCACGTCATCCTCCGATCTTGCCAATGGGGACTCAGTGATTATATTTCGAACTTGACGTATCATAGTCGTTGCTGACAGCATCTTCAGATGGACGTGGAAGAAAATAGTGCCAACGAGGACTCCGATGACGAGGACTGGGAGCGCGTCGCCGCTGGATCGACGACCGAAGTGCTCGGCGCACAACCTGCCGTTGGCGTAAAAGTCGGCGAGTGGTTCATCGCGCGTGCCAAGTACATCCCTCTTCGCTTGACGCTTGGCGAGCGCAAGTTCCTTCGCCTGTTGGAGGCTGCCCTCAACGTATCAGAGTATACGGACAAAATAGACACCATCGGATTCGGGCTCTCAAAGGCGAAGAGAATCGTGCAGCAGATCCGAGAGCTCTGCGCCATCATGTCTGGCCTGTTGCTTGCTGCTGATTATAAACAGGGCCAGGAGCTGTTTACGGACCGTGATTTCCAGGCCAACGCCGAATTCTACCAACAAATCTTTGAACTTGGCCGGAGGCACAAGATCATGAATCCCGACAAAATGCGGACTACCTACGGGAAACTCATTTACCTTCTGCAGGTCGGCCCAATTTTTCAACACTGCCTCGTTGCGCCTGTTTCTTACCTTCGCTGCAGGACAGCCAATCCCCAGATGTCAAAGACCTTCTCAGCTTTTCCTGTATTCGCCCTATCAAAACGGTACACGTGGTCTTGGAGGAGTATGAAGCACTCGATCTCCTTCGAGACGACCTTATCACCATCGCCACCAAAGAGATCTATTCAGAGGGCCGTCCCCGGCGGGATATACAAAAAGATATCAAAAGCAAGGAACGCGCAATTGAGACTCTCGCGGCGCGCTATGAGCGGGACGGACTCCCGCAAGAAAAAATTCGCCAGTGTCTCTATTCTATTGGTGACAATCACGCATTCCTACGGGTCAACCGTGACCCCTGCGAGCGGATAATCAACTACTTGAAGGAATATTTCCATCCGACCCAGGCAAAAGACAGCAAACGAAGTCTCGCAATCCGGAGTGGAAAGGAAGGCGCGAGACTATCTCATGATCATGGCAAGCAGTACTCGTATGTGCTCCAGAGCTTAACGCTGTGGCGGGAGATTTTACATGGCACGTTTCGAATCTTCAAGCTCCCCTTCCAATGCTGATATCTCTTTTTTCAGACATGTTTCACCTATGGTCGCTGGCAGAGCAAGATCTGCTTGCAGATAACGTCCCGTACCGCCTGCGTGATACCGGGCAGGGCTTAAACCGTGTCCAGGCAGCACCCAAAACGTCGCGTATGATGCATCAGATCCTGCACAAGGCCCAGCGGAGCGTCGGTACCTGGATCGGATCTAGCGTCATCCACATGGGCGACCACAACGTCCCCAACGCCCTCATGTTCATTGACAAGTATACCCAAATCTACCGTATCCTCCTTCCCATCTGCACCACACTCTCTCAAATACCATCGCTGGTGGCGAAGCCGGCTCTGCGCTCATACATCGAGGACGAATTTGGATCGGCAGAGAACCTGACTTGCGAAATCCTGAGTGATTTCTTCAGACATGGGTTCGATGGCTCGGGGGCCGATAATTTTTTCGATGCTGGTAGCTGTATTGACGGGCGGTTGACGAGTGCGTGGAATTGGTGCGCGTCGCTGGAGAAGAAGAGATATTTCCCGATTTTCTTGCTAACAGGTAAGCATCTGATATGATTGATGATGTGTGTGGCTGACTTGGTTGCCTTACAGGATTCGTCGGCTTCGACGGTGAATGGTAATATTCGGGCAGATGGTTCCATCATGTAGTCTTTTTTCGTTGATGCACTGCAAGCTAGATATAGATTTGCGTCGCAGGATCAACTATGGTTGATTCGGCACTCGTCCACGTGTGGTGATGGCCAATAAAATTAAACAGTGCCAGATGACGCCACACTTCAATGGTCGGAAATGCTCCAAAAATCCCGAAAAATGGTCTCTATGCCTAAGCTGCGTTTTGTGGTTGGCCAAGCCCAGCTTGTCTCTTCGCACTCACAACAACCTCCAGCACACCGCTGAGGCCCGCCTTCCATGCCTGCAGCCTCTTCTCAAGAGCCTCCCACTGCTCCTTCTCGAACGTTCGCGCTGTTGCCCGGGTGATGTGGAGGCTCTGTGTCGTCTGTGAGAGTTTACCCCAGACCAACCCGGCCCGGATAACTGAAGAGTTGTGTTACATGTTTACGCGTCATTGAGATTCAAGTTATCTCACCATCGATTGCCCATTTCTCGACTTCTGCAGGGTTCACCTGGAGAGCCTCGCCAATCTTGGAGTAAGGCAGATCACGGCCAATGTGCTGGAAGGCGAGTGATGCAAGTGTGAGCAACCGAATTTTACGCTCAAGTTGCGTCCGGTCCAGCTCTTGATGTCTTGTCAGGTTTATCCCAAAAGTCAGTGCAATACGTACTGTGCTGCTCGAGTGCATCGGCGTGTGATGCTTCCCATGACTTGAACTCGAGGAGACCATTATTGAGGAATATTTGGAGGAGTGAGAAAAGCTCATGGTCCTTGACTGCAACGATTGCATCCAGCTTGAAGAGAGGGTCGAAGTCGAAGACGGTGGGAAGTCGGACGGCTGTGGCGATCAAGTTGACAGCAGCAGCTTGGGCGTCAGAGGACGTTGAGGGCAATGTCTGGACATAGAGTCGCTCGTAATCATATGCAGTGGCTCTGGAATATCGAGTCAGCGAACATAAAAGTAGGAACGTCGTTAAATTCGGCACGTACGGCTGGGACGCCGTCTCGTACGCGCCAGAAACAGTTTTGAGGAATGCGGCTTTGTCATTTTGGGCGATGTTCCATTCAGACAGCCATTTTTTAACGTTAGCACGAGAGATTTGTAGCGCGTCGAGGTCGCCGTTAGAGCCGGCCAACCGCACGAGAGCGGTGTAAACCAGTGGGCGGAGTGATGATGTGCGTTCGACGGCATTGAAGAGGTTTGACAGGCTGAAAGTTTGGTTTGTTAGGTTTAAGGTATGGTATGAGTAAGTAGGAACACACATGCGGTATTTGATGAACTTTCGTTCCGAGGGTTGGTGGGTGAGGAGTTGGACGAAGGCATTCACGTAGATTTTTGTATCCGACGCCTCGGACACGTGCAGGGAGAACAAGTGAGAGAAGAGCAGGTTGAAGAACCCCTCG